TGCTGTGGCACCGGTGGAGCTGGGCTCTGCGAGATGTGCCACGGGAACAGAGAAAATGCCAGAATAACTCGGGAAACTTGGCTTATCAGAGCAGCGAGCGAGTCTCAAGCGCCTGCGGGTTCTGCCTTTGGAAGGTTGTTTTAATTTTAATTGGACGTGGGTCTTGGGAAGCTTTCGGTGTGCAAGAGACGTGACGGGGAATGCTGTCAAACAGATGGATACAGTTACGGCAAGGCAGTAACACGGCTGCAGTTGCCTACCTCTGTACCTGCTGAAGCAGCCTCAGACTTTGCCTGTTACGTGCACAGACGTGTCCGAGGTCTTAAAACTTAACTTGGGAAGTCTTTGCTATGCAACAGAGCCTCTGCTATAGCTATGTAGGCAGGAGCCCCTAATGTAAATGTACTGTGAGTTAATTTTTATTTTTTTTTTTCTGCTGGGATAGTTACTTTATAAAATAACGTAAGCAAAACTGGAACGCACTCTATTCTGCAGTGCCACGAGTTGTTGTTGGCATGCTGATGTGAGGAGGAGTTCACATCTACCTCTGATTCAAGAACTGCCCTGGGTAACTCACTAGGTTAAGCTCACTAAATAATTAGGTTAACTCATTAGGAAAAAACCTACATTTTCTTTTCAAACTTCTTATTGCCACCATAAGAATAGTTATACTTACAGTTTTTGTTGATGTTGTATTGTTTAATATCTTAATGATGTAAAACCTCTGTTTGCCCTTTTTTTTTTTTTTTTATTGGAAGGTACTAGCAGAGGAGGAGGAGGAGGATGGGGCACCACTAACCAGAGATACACTAATGTTATTCAGCCGTCTACCTTTAAGTCTAATACATGGGGTGGCAGCAGAGATCAAGGAAGAGGATTTTTTGGCTCCTCTGATTTTGGATCATCAGGCGGCGGCAGCAGCAGAAATGCAGACTTTTCGCAGAACAGATTCTCTGCGTTAATGAACAATCAAAATCTTGCTGATGGCTATAAAGATGAAGAGGAGAGACTTCTGTAAGTTATAGTCCTGTTTCACTGAAAGCATTTAGAATGAGCAGTTTAAAAGCTTACTGACTTACTAGAGATAATGCAGAGGACATGGTCCTGAGGAGGGAGCTGGGACATGTGGTAAGAATCGTAGAAAACACTACTACATTTTGTTCTCATGAGTTATGCTGGCGTGGGAAGAAAGGGATCCTTGTTTTGAACCTGGGTTGGGCAGCTAGACGACTGTGATGTTGGTAATATGGTATGGTATTTAAGTTGTGGGCAGGAGGATAAGGAAGGAAACAAAGATTTCAGTACTTGAAAATAAGGGGTCAGAGTGCCTTGGACAACATTTCAACCACTTAAAAAAACAAAACAAAAAAAACCAACTCTTTGAGAAAATGAACTGTTTGACTTAGTTTTCCTGACACTTAAGATAAATTGTTTTGCCAATAGCAAAACTATTGAAACCTGGTTTCGTGTGTGTGTGTTAGAGTCAGTTGACAGTGACCAGCAGGTTCAAGGAGGTTACAGGGCAGGTGATGAGAAGCAACAGGCAGTGTCACGTCCTGAAGAAGCAAGGTTTTGGAACCACCTTCTATTATTTTTTTTTTACGATTACATTAAGAAAATGCTTAACAGATTATTTATTCAGCTTCTCAAACATGAATGTGTATTATGTTACAAATATCTGAAATACTAAGAATCTTTGTTTGTTATTACGTAGTAATCTGCTTGTCCACTTTAGTTTTTACCCTTTCACTATTTGTTTACATTTGGATTTACTTTTGTTGATGTAGCTTCTGTTTCTCTGCTTTTGCAAGGTCTGGATTTTTATGCTTTTGATTCTTTTCCAAAAACTTATATGGAACACTTATCTCTTTCTCTTCTTTCTTCCCTCCCCCTCCCCCCGACTTTTGCTGTTTAATACTGTGCATGTTCATTTATGTTTTAAAATGGTCTAGCATTGAGAAAGTTTTAAATTGTATTGTGATCTACAGTTTCAGGGAAAATCCTGTGACAGCATATGCTATACAGGGATTAAAAAATACTTTGTGTGTTTTGGGATATTTTTTTTTTTTTTAAGATCTGGTTTGATTTACCTGCAGTTAGATGGTAAAGTAAAATGCTTTGAAGGGACATTTATGTATCTTGCCGAATAAGTGCATTTTTTCCACAGAGAACTGAGTACTTCTCTTGTTCATTCTGACTATTGTCAAACTTCCTTAATTTTCATGGTAGCAGGTATTTGAATCTGACTTTGGATTCAAACTAGGCAATTGCTTCTGATGGTTTCGTTTTGACCATATAATTTCACTTTCATCTGTGGTTTTATTTTGTTTCGTTTTCTAGCGAATGTGTCATGAAAGACATGGAAATTTGGGAATCTTCAGGACAGTGGATATTTTCATCTTATTCGCCGATGAAAGAAAAGCCAAATGTCTCAGGTAGGTAATGTTTTTAGCATTGCCATGTATTGCTGCTATGTAGAATGTTTCTTACACTTGTCCACAGTGTTGGACATTTGCAAGGTGATGATTTGCCTTGTGATGCAACAGAAAGGAATATTGGATTATGGCACATTCATTTTGGGCATTCACATCTTTAAGTTCTGTAATGAATCCCTTTTGTGGCTCCAGCTGTAACTGACTTACAGATAATGTACCAAGGCCCATTTCTTTATAACTATAGAGAGCAATTGGAAGT